AATATACAGATCACGAGCAACGACAGAAAATTAAGTTTGAATTTACAGTAATGTTGAGTTTTTAAAAATGTTCGATTTTAAGGTAATGTTTGGTCTTCTATAACGATTTTACAATGATGTGGTATTTTATAATTTATTGTGTTTGCATACACGAAACGCGTAGTTAAAATCAGAGACTGGAACCTTTATGATTTTATAGGTTTAGGTTCCCAAAAACCCGACATTTCGGTTTCGGTTTTTAAAAATATCAAATTCCGGTTTCGGTTTCGGTTAACATCGGTTTTAACCCTTATTTTATAATTTTATTTTTATCAATAAAGTACCTACTGTGTAAAAAAATTAACATATTAATGACCTCTATTTAGTTACAGGTATATGCAATTAAGTGTAACTATTTCACAATTTAGGCAATATTATAAAAAATTAAAATAAATAAATTTTAATATTTAAAATAAAATAAAAAATATTATTATAAAAAAAAATAAAAATGCATTTTTGACACACTTGGGCGACCAATGTTCCGGTTTGATATAAAAATTAAAAAATTTACAACTTATATATAAAAATATAAATTTAAGCAATATATAACGAAGTGAACGGCAGTTCCAGTACTAGTAGGTAGGTACATTCGGAGTGTCGTACAGAGCGTATATAGAGTAAAGATTTAACGATACCCTCATTAGGATTAGGTTATTATCAATGCAGGCATATTAGTAAGGTAACAATTATAATTTTAAATGTATATGACATTTTACTCTGAATTCTGAAACACTTATAAACGGCCAAATTGCTATTATTTTCAGAAATTCTACATCAGCTATTGCGAATTATTGAGATTTTTGATTCAATAATAATATTGATATCGATTACATATGGAAATTAGAATTTGGATTTTTAGTATTTTTTTTTATGACAATATTATTCTGTTGTACACATAATAATATTTTATTTCTTAGCATTGATGGTACTTTTATAGGTCTATGATTTTATAATTATTTATTATTACTAATAATTAGTTATTACCTGCTTACACCATAGATAAAATATCTATTGGATTTTGGAACCGAAAAAAACCGTAAAAACCTCTACATCAAAATATAGGTTTCTGTTTCGGTTTCAGTTACTAAAAAATGTATTTAAGGGTTCCGGTACCGTTTCGGTCTCAAGATTTTCAAAAGGTTTCGGTCCAAAACCGGTCAATGGTTAAAATAATGGTTCGATTTTTAACATCTGTATCTATTCTGGTGGGTAAGTGAAGTTAGTTGATCCAAATCGAACATTTCCCGTAGTTTTCAAAAGCGTCGGGGAAAACAAACTGTCCACTGGACACCTATACTGTACAGCAGAGCGGTACCCACTTTTCCACCTTTTTTTTTCTTTATTCAGAGCCTTAACGCCAGTATGCATAGTCAATTTATGTGTCACATAATAGTAGAGACAGGATTTATATGCGCTTAAAATCTTAAAAATAAGATGTTTCTATGCTCTATTGTTATTTCATCAAAATAATCTTTTATAGGTATGCAAAAATATTATTTTTCATAAAATGTATTAAATACTGAAGAAAACCAAATAAAAGCAGCAATTTATAAAAATTATTAGATATTATATTCATATCCTAATCTTTGAAAAAATTATTCAAACAGTCATATTTAATTTATAATATGGTGATATACTGTATATATTGTTAAATTATATTTTAGATGTGTGATTGTAGCACATATCTAAAGTTCAGAGTTATGAATTCAAAAAACAATAATAATAACGTTTTTTAAATAAGATAACAGACGTAGAATAAATGATTACCTTATCAATTTCCGTCATTTCGTCATGATAAATATGATATTATAATGAAAATATTTTTGTTTTTTTTTTTTAAAAAACCATTAGGCTTTTTTATAAGATATTCAAATTAAACTCCAATATGCCAATATTGAATATATTATACTTCTAAAACATGTTTTTTGCACAAAATATTCGTTTTTAGTCACTAAAAAATGTACATCAACTCATAGGTAAATAAAATATAAATCGTCGAAAATCTTATCCAACTGTATACTGTATGCTCTAAGTAAAAATATGCAAAAACATACAATTCTGGTATGTACACATACAACATGTTAAAATATGTCTTATGTGACATGCAAATTGACCATGCATACGGACAATAGTCTTGTAACACTGACCTTAGGTTTTTAAATTGTATTTTAAAATTTAAAAAAAAGTATCATTATAACTTCCTCACGAGGTTTTTCTATCATAGAATATTATAATATTTTATTTAATCGTAAATTTTCGACGTTAAAATCGATATCACTAATAGCGATGACAAATTAATTTCAATTTCTGATTAAAAGTAAACTCAGGAATTATGAATTTGTGCAAACCTATTTTTTTTAATAAAAAAAAAAGGCGCTCTGCTGTACAGTAGGTTACATATGGGTCACTGTATAATGGATGGTATTAAATTTAAATTCAATCATATAATACCATTGTATAAGAAAAACGATTTTGAGCGGAGACGGTATGTCAGGCTATAAAACATATTATATATTATATATCAATGGGAATAAATAAAAATATGCAGTCATCATTGAGCTCACTTCTTATTCCTTATATTATGGTAGATTGTATGGATAGGAAATAATATTTTGATTTTTTTGATTTTTCAGTTTCATATATCCCCGAATAACATTTTTAATTACAACAAAAAATCAAAAGCATTAATATTGATTTTAATATGTAATTTTGTCCAAATTTGAACTTAAAATGACTATAAAAATAAACTGTGCTTGTGTATTTTTTAGATTTTTTGGATTAACAGAATTAACTACTTACGTGGAATCTTTTTATACATTTTCAATCCTTAGATATAAAAGTTGAATATTTTAAAAAATTTTAACTAAAAAATAATTATTCAATTTTAAATGTGATAAATGTTGTCAAAATTCGATCTTTTAATGCTTATAAAAAAAAATTGTAAGTACCTATGTATTTTCAATATTTTTCAACTGATATTGAATTAATATATCAGGAGCCTTGTATTAAATGATTACACTTTTTTGAATAACAGATAAAACTTTATTGATATTTATAGAAAAAAAAACTAAAAAAAATTGAAAACTGTAAATGTCCGTAAACAGCTCAAAATGAGTCAAAATATTTTCAAAATTGTGTGGTTTATAAGAAATGATAATATAAACATTCAGTGAAATTTTCATGTATCTACAGTTATTCGTTTTTGAATTACAGTAAAATAAGGAAATCGCTAGTAAATCGGAGTAATCGAGTGATTGTAAAATGTTGTAAAAATTTGAATTTCAAAAGCTCATAAAAATGTAATTTGACTTTCATATAGACATTTTTTTTTTTGATAAATATAGATAATCTTATAAGGAATCTTGTATTCCATTTTAAAATCTTAGATTTAAAAAGAAAAATTTTTAAGGATTCTTAACTCAAAATAATTTGCTAATTTTCTTGATTTTTCCATATTTTGTCAATTTTTGAACTTTAAAATATTTTGAAAATGTGTATAGAAATTGCAAACATAAACAACCAGTGAAAATGTCATGTATCTAAGGGTCATTTGTTTTAAAGTTACACCAAAAACCAAATTCGATTTTGTTAAAAATCGATTTCGCGTAAAAATTCCCGTTTTTCCTATGTTTAATGTTTAATCTTTCTTAATATGTTTTTCTTGGCGCTTTTGAAAATCACTTTGAGTTTTAAATTTTGACCTCCCCAACGCACCAACGATATTCACTTTCCAATCGAACAATATACTGAAGTTGAAAACCGATGCATTATTTCGACTGATTGTCGTGTACACAGACACGAATAAAATTTTAAAATAAAAAAAAAAAAAAAAAACACACACAGCATTGTAAAATCAGTACATTCGTCGTTCCGCTCAGAATCTAAAAACCGTTTGGCTCAAAACGAGTGCAATTTTTAAGTGCGTTTCTTAGCGCATTGCCCGCGACCCACAGTGTTCCAGAAATTTGATTTAGGTGGACAAAATTAGAATTTTCATAATCATTAATTGAACATAAAAATGAATTTAATTTGTTGATAGTCAGTGACTAATTATATAATATTGGTTTTTAAATTGATACACTATCGCATACAGTTATAATAGTGTACTGATTATACTAATAGTCCGAGAAAAGATTTTCAATTACCAGCTAAATTGTTTGAGAGTATAGGTTTTATACCGTTAGTGTCGTTCGTTGAATGAAGTTGGTCCGTTCGTTTTTCTTCAACATTATGGATACACTAGTGGATGGTATGTATATATTTTTTTTATTAAGTTTTGCATGAACAATTTTTAAGTAATATATATATAGAAATATTTAAAAATGTAAGATACATTTTTTTTTTAAATTATTGAGGATACTGAAAAAATAGTAGTGGATAGTAGAGGTTTGAACTTGGTGTTTTCTATTAGCTTAACTTGTCCTCTAAAAGATATTATATAATTTGGTTGCGGCAAGTTGCTGCACAATACATAGTACCTATTATATTAAAAAAAAATATTATATTTTTCAAATTCGTCAAAAATTATATTTCACCATAAAACCAAATGACAAAAAAAAATAACTTATGTAACTTTTTATGTGACACAGAAACAGGGAAAGAAGAATACGAAGCAGCTACATCTGATGGAGAATCTGTCAGTTCTAGTGATTCTGATTTATACAATAATATGTAAAAAAATTATAATCTAATTATATCATTAGAATAAATAATATACTAACTACTAAGCAGTTTATTTTTTTAATTCTAAAACCTGAATTTTAAAATGATCTAAGTATCCGAAAAGTAAAACAATTTTATAAATAAATAATTTTGTCCTGCTAAAAACCTTTTCTGGAACACTGTGCGACCCTAATATTATTTGCTCTATTGTTTTTGTTCGCTCCTATAATCGTTCGTGTAAATCGTTTGTAATATTACCTATACCTGACCTTCTGCCCAGCCGATTGAAATGGACTTACCGCTGATCAGATACGAATGCGAATGTCCTCCGACCACCGCGTCCACGCCGTCCACTTCTCTGGCCACACGTCTGTCCATTTCTAGACCGGAATGACCCAGGGCTATTATGAACTCCACCCCGGCGCTTTTCAACTTGGCCACTTCGGTCCTGACGCTCTGAACTTCGTCGGATATCCGGACTCTGCCCACTTTGTTCGTAAACTGCAGCAGTATAATATAATGGTTTAACCGATTGTATATATAGGTAATGTAACGCAATAACTATAACAAGTACAAGGTATTTCAATTTGCAGGGGAATTCCCCCCTTCGCAGCACGACAAGTCAACTTTTTTCTGAAAATTTACATCGATATCGAAAAAGGGTATACGGGAAAAAAAAAAAAAATTAAAAAACCAACGGTGAAAAAAACCAAAAGAAAAAAGAACCAACGGAAAAAAAAACCAAAGTGACAATATTATAATCAAAATTTTTTGAAACAAAAGGTTGAGTTATCTTAGTTGTAGTTCTCAGAATAGCCGGACAATTAAGTGAACTTTTTTTTGTACATCTCCATGTATAATATTGTATTCCGGCATATTTTAAAGTATACATATGACACCTTTGTGACAAATCTTATCTGCACCCTTATTTGATTTAATGATTTCCATATTTTAAGCTATTAAATCCAGAACTTCAAAAAAAAAAAAACAATTTGCAAGACAAGAACACAATACAGTAAACTAGTAAAGTCACAGTTAGCACTTAGCACAATGATCAATAGTGTATTTTTGTATGATCTTCGTGTTCCCCCTATTTCAACTATAAATCTTGACATATTAACTTGTCAAACTTGTCTGATTATATTGTTGAGTTATTTTGATTTTTGAAACCAATATAGTATATGTACAGGAAATTTCTCAAACTAAATTGTATGTAATAGCAAATTAAACTAATATTTTTATATACATAGTGATCGAACTTATATTCTATCAATCATTTACTTATGCTCATTCGTATACATTTTTCTCAATAAAAATAAAAATATTATTATAACTAATTGTATATAATATTTGAATGTATATTGAATCAACACATAATTTTTATAATATTGATAACACAGCATATAGATTGTATATTATATTTTGTGATAATGCTAATTCTCTGATTATATTATCACTTTGGTTTTTAGATTCTGAGTGAAACGATGAATGTATTGATTTTACAATGATGTGTGTTTTTTTTTTTATTTTTTTTTTTATTTTATTTTTTATTTTATTTTTTATTTTATTTTTTATTTTTTTTGTGTCTGTGTACACGATAAGTAGTCGAAATAATGCTTCGATTTTCGACTTCAGTATCTTGTTCGATTGGAAAGTGAATATCGTTGGTGCATTGGGGAGGTCAAAATTTAAATTTCCCAGTAGTTTTCAAGAGCGCCGGGAAAAACAAAAGAAAAATTAAGGAAAAACGGGAATTTTTACGCAAAATCGATTTTTCAGAAAATTGAATTTGGTTTTTGGTGTAACTTTAAAACAAATGACCGTAGGCACATGCAATTTTCACTGGTTGTTTATATTTGCATCTTCTATACACGATAACATTTTCAAAATATTTTGATTTATTTTGAACAGTTTAGGGACATTTTCATTTTTAGTTTTTTTTTAGTTTTTTTTCTAGAAATATCAATAAAATTTTATTTGTTGGTTGCGAAAGCTTGAAAATTTAATAGAAGGCTCCTAATATATTGTTTCAAAGGCAGATGAAAAATATTAAAAATCCTTAGTCACAATTTTTTTTTATAAGCATTTAAAGTTCAAAAATTGACAAAATATGGAAAAATCACGAAAATTAGCAAATTATTTTGAGTTAAGAATTCGTAAAAATTTTTCTTTTTAAATCTAAGATTTGAAAATCTAATACAAGATTACTCATAAGATTGTCTACCTTTATCAATAAAAAAATCTCTACAGGAAAGTCAAATTAAATTTTTATGAGCGTTTGAAATTCAAATTTTTACAACATTGGATATTCACTCGATTTCTCATGTGGCAATTTCCTTTTTTTGTTGTAATTAAAAAACGAATTACTGTAGATACATGAAAATTTCACTGAATGTTTATATTAGCATTTCCTATACACCATACAATTTTGAAAATATTTTGACTCTTTTTGAGCCGTTTACGGACATTTTCAGTTTTCAATTTTTTTAGTTTTTTTTTTCTATAAATATCAATTAAGTTTTATCTGTTGGGCCAAAAAGTGTAAAAATTTAATACAAGGCTCCTGATATATTGTTACAATATTAGTTGAAAAATATTAAAAATACATAGGCACAATTTTTTTTTATAAGCATTTTAACATCGAATTTTGACAGAATTTTTCAAAATCTCGAAAATTATTAATCATCGTAATTAATAAATTATAAAATGTTCAGTTTTTATAGCTTAGGATTGAAAATTTAAAACAAGATTCCACGTAAGTAGTTAATTCTCTTACCGAAAAATCTAAAAAATATACAATCACAGTTTATTTTTATAGTCATTTTATTTTCAAATTTGGACGAAATTACATATTAAAAAACCTAGTTATTTTGTTGTGATTATATAATATTATTCGTGGGTACCTACTTGAAACTTCTAAAGTTTACTATTATATATATATGATAGTATCAGGGTTTGTTGTTAGTGTATAACGTGTTATAAGTACCTAATGGATATTGTGATAATGTGATATGATTAATTTGGAATTTATTATAGGTCAATTTTTTTTTAATACCATAGATATGTATATAATTTGTCTTAACCTAGACTGACATACCGTCTTCGCTCAGAATCGTTTTTCTTATACAATGATATTGTATCATTGAATTCAAATTTAATAGCATCAATTATACAGTGACCCACTTGTAACCTACTGTACAGCAGAGCGACATCCACTTACCCACCTTTTTTTTCCTTGGTTTTTTTTTCCGGGATTCCGAAAAAGACATTCAGAATGATCATTTATACTAAAATAATAATCGTTTCATAATGAATCGTAGTACCTTCGTACAAATTTATTTAAAATATTAAATAATAATTGTAGTACGCTACTCGATATTTTGCCTCTGCGAGGGAAATTGAAGGATCATAGATAATATTATATCATAAACGACAATTTTAACTACATACTTATGAATTTTATTTTACTACAATATGTGTGTTTTGATTTTATTTAAATCTACTTTAATACACATTACATAATATTACTATATTTAGTGAATGAATGAATGAAAAAATGAAAACTATATTGTTATGAAAATAAATTATTACATATTAATAAAATATTATAAATTACACATTATCGTCACTTATACTGAAACAATGCGTATCTCAATTTTTGTAGTTTTTCAGGAGACACAAAAAACAGGTATCTATTGCAAAACAGCTTATCTCATGTAATTAATTTTGACAACAATGCCTATCTCAAAAATATCACGCGTAAATAAATATTATAAATGAGATACCTTATGCTTCATTGTACTTCATTATTATTATACTACTACTATTGTTATTATTACAGTGTAACCGCCAATCCAACAGGAAACTCTCCTGACGAATAAATGCCCGGAATAATTTATTTTATTAATTTGACAATAATCTCATTTAGTAAAATTTTGAGATAGGCACTGTTCAAGTACAAGCGACGATATCGATTATCGATTACGATAGCTGTGACAGGTAATTGGGAGTGTATTTATTTTACCTACTACAATGACGATAGTTGAGATAAATGTAAAATGTGATCTAATGTGTTGTATATAGGTACACACATTATAAAGCATAAATAAAAACCACTAATAACCAACTAAAATAGGTAATTTTTGAAACCAATTTATTTCTTAGTTTTAACCAAAAACGTTCATTTCTTACCATTTTTACGAAATTTGAGTATTATAAACAAAGTGGTGAGTCTTATGGCCGATTTTTTTAAACGTATTTGGATACGTCCGGACCGATCCAGACGATTTTGACTCTAATAAGCGACCAATGCCCGACTGGGAATAAAATTTTGCCCAATTTCGGGCTAATAATAAAATATTTATAAGTTATCTTCCAAAATGTTCATCAGGCCCAGGCGGGGATTGTTCGTCCTCCTCCCTAGCCAGACTGAAGGCCACTGAACCTTATATCCGTGGGTCTTAAAAATAGGTGTTCACTGTATAGTGTAATAACTAATTGAAGCACACGGTATTCCCCCCCCCCACGCGTCAATTTTTCAAAAACATTCAAATCGATCATTTGCACCAAAATAATAATCGTTTTATAATATTGATACAAATCGATTGAAGGTTTTAAAATAATAAGTGTGGCATGCCACTTGATATTTTTCTTCTGCAAGGCAAATTGAAGAATCATAATAGTGTGTTTGGTATTGTCGTAACTGAGATTTCGGATTAACCAGATAATCGGACTCGAGCCACTCGAGCCAGATCGAGCAAATGGACTTGAAAAAAAACATTTTGATATAAATCGGACAATAATATTATCGCGCAATATTCATCAGTCGATGACTCCGAAACCTCGACAACACGAAAGTTTTTCTTGCACCTTGGAGGGTTCTTATGTTGGGTTCAACTCAAAAAATGCACAAGACGAATTCGTTTTCATAACACCCCTCGAGATTCGAGTTATCGACTGCATGGTATGAAATACAATATTTCTCGCCTGTTTTTTTTCTTTTTAAATCAAAAACAACGTTAAGGCAATCGTAAAATCGACCGCGTCGTGTAGGCGCCCAACAATAACGGATTTGCCTACCCCAATAATACCGTACTCCGTATACGGAAACAGTAAACAATATAAATGAACACCTAACTATTGCGTTATTGTAATATATATGGAAACGAAACAATCGACCGCGGTGCTTACTTCCGTGTCCGGTGTCAGGTAACCGATCACGCCCACGGTGTGCCCTCCGACCTCGAGGACCGTGGACGGCTGGATGTTCGTTAAACTCGGTTCCCCTTCGGTGTTGATGTTCGCCACGACTATCGGTATGGAACTTATGTTCTTGGACTTGAGGAACGGCGCCAGGCCTTCCGGGCCGTCTTCGAACTCGTGGTTTCCCAAACACTGTGTGAAAAAGTCCAAAACCGCTATCGTTATAGTATTTATTATTAATGATTTACAGTCGGTGGTCGTGACGTTTCATAGTGTACGGGAGACAGAAAAAAATTATGATGCTACTCGAATGTTAGTCAAAAATTGTGAAAATTATAATATGGTTGGTAAATAATTTAAGAAATATACTCATGTCAGGAAATTCCCAAAAATAATTGTATACAAAATAATTACGTTTTAAATTAATTTAGGTACCCAAAAAAATAAAGATATTTAAAAAAATTCTAAAACACAAACTACTTGACTTAGATAATTTTTTTACCATAAAAATTGTTCTTTTAATCAAATTTACAAATTGGCTATTTTTTATTTTTAGTATTAAAAAATAAAAATATTTTTTTGGTTTTTTTAACTACACGGGTTTCAAAAAAAAAAGGGAAAAATTCGAGTGGCCGCTAAACTAGATTTTTGACTTTTTTTTTATATTCTACGTGTAGCGCAAGTCATTATAAGTTATATATAAAAAATTTTTTTATAAATATTGATTAGAACAAAAGTTATTTCATTTGTCAGGTCTTCCTGTTACACCCTACTTAATATTAATAATAATATTTAGGCATATACTTAGGTTGTACTAATTAGAGTTTACTTTAAATGTTTGCTTTGAAATATTTCGATGGAATATTGAAATATGCGTTGCTGCAAAAACGTGTTTATTAATTTTTTAAGAATATGTAAGACTTATTATAACTCGATGGAATAGCACGTCTAACTAACCAAAACTTACAAGTTTTAAGTTTTATAACTACTTAAAATATAACAGTAATGTAATCCAGTCTTAAATTTAATAAATATTACAATGTTAAAAGCATATTGCCTGTAAGTGTATAACTTACAATTTCATATTCTATAGATTCAAAATTTGCATTTTTTTTCGAATTAAATGTTTAAATACGCAATAAATTTTATATAGGCTTGGAGTTAATTGTGACAAACAACTTAGGTCATTAACATAACGTTAAACCTATTACATACATATTATACAATAACAATAAAATAGGTAACTTTGAAAATAATGAAGTATGAAATTTGTGTGGTCTTGTAAACAGAAAATTTTAAATTATTATGGTATATACCTAATCTATTTTTCGTTAATGAAGTATTTAGTTGCAACAAATCATTGAGCTTTGTAGATGACATTTTTTAAAATAAGGAATTAGTATAATAACATGTTAGTATTATATGTAATTAATAATATATCTAAAATAACTAATAAAATGCATTCATTAAATATGCAATATTCTAATTTCATCATCATTTATAGTTTGAATTTAGATCAAATTTATCAAAATCACGAAGTTTGCAAATTATTTTGCATGCAAAAATTTTAAAAATATTCAATTTTTATAGCCAAACCTTGTTAATGTAAAATTTAAAGTTTCTTACAAGTGGTTAATACTGTAACCAAAAAGTCACACTGATAATTAAATTACATTATATTGATTGGAAAATTCGTGATAAACCGAAAGACCTTTTTTCAATGGTATTTTTGTTCGAGCACAGTATAGGAGAAATAAGAACCGACACTAACCTAACCTAACCTAACCTAACCGTTATAAGAGCTCAAGTGCAATCGGTGTATCCCCGCAACGACATTTACTGATTTATGTTGCATTCAGCCACTCTGATCTACAAGTTTTTTTTTGGTTTGTTTCTAAATAGATCACTTTTTAAAGGTTTTTTTGTCAATGAGTGTAATAGTTGTCTACACTGTTAATTTAACATTAATTGCACTTTAGCTCAAATTACAGTAAGAGCCAACGTACCTTTTTGGAGAGTGTCCATACTGATTTCACCTATTCTGTGGTATAATCATAAACGGTTGCTATATCGGTTAGATATCTACATAATATTATAATATACAAATAGCCATAGTACAACTAGTAGAAATTAATATATTATTTTATTTTGACGGTCGACAAAGGTTGCATGACTTAATAATATTATTTATTTGTCATACAATATAATATTATTATTATTTATTTTTTATACTTATATTTAATCGGATATAACGATTTTAACTTATAGTTTTGACATTTGGTCGCTATATTTTTGACCTGATTATCCGATAAACTATAAAATTAAAAAAATTATCCAATTGAAAAACTACTGGAACAGTTTTGATTAAAAGTCACATCAAGAGATTCCTTCAGACTAGGAGGGTTTTTTTTTTAAACCCATTACCCAGGTAGTCTTAACACATTAACACATAGTGGTTGTAGTTAGTAATCAAGGTATCTGATCAATCTCAATAAATGTTTTTGACATCAACTTTTGGCACAGGACGTGTCTGATTAGTATCGTGAGTCGCGACCATTAATTGATAACAGATAAAGTGTACACACTGCAAATCAGTTTTTCCTAAGATTACTAGGCGAAATAATATTATGCTGTATATACATTGAGATATTATTTTACTAATGAAGTAACCCGTAACTCCATTATAAGTACCTACTGCTTTATTCGGTGCCAAATCCAGGGCTTAATTTGGGGGGAGGCGGCAAAAATACAAAAAGTACAAAATTTGAATACAAAATTGTCTAAACTTATTGAAATTACGGCGATTTGTGAGGGATTCCCCCTTTCACGCCCCAAAGATCCACTACTGGCTTTATTCTCTAGGACATGCTACATATACATTTACATACTGTGTTTTTCCCTGGTACTTGACAATATTTTGGTTTACATTTTATAGTGCATTTTAAAGGCATTTCTATGGTGGAGTTAGGTGTTTATTAAAAAAAAAAATTTAAAAAGGCGAAATCATGCAATTAAACCGAACATGAAATAACCTATAATTTGAAAATTTTGAATTTACTGCTCGTTCCACTATAGGAGGCCAGTATAGGTATACTAAAAAATATATTTATGTAAAAAAAAAAACAAATCTCTGACATGTGGGACGGTTAGTAACAATACCCATGTATATAATATATACATGTAGGTGTATTAAAATGAAAAGCTGTTCATTGGTATCGATAAGTCTGACAGATTTGGCTTATTTATTATTTTAAACATTCGTAACATACCGAATGGAGTTCTTACGGAAGTAAAAATCGGAAGACATGCTCGGAAAATTGGAAAAACTGGATGGCTATAATACGTAGTACCTAGCCTTAATAATTAGCATAGGCGGACATTAACTTGTTAAAAAGTTAAAATTAAGTTAAAAAGTTAATTTCTTTCAACTTTTGAAACTTAACTTTTTATAGTTAATTATCATCGTCACGCAGTTGATTTAATTTTCTTTTCGTGGAAATCAACTAGGCAATACCGATTCGTTGACTCTTTTTCAATGTCGGTAATTTCTTTTCGAGTTATATTATATTATATTTATCTAATTTTAACACACTGTTAAATATTAATTGTATGTAGTGAAATACAGGTTATGGCTTGAAAATATTTTGACTTGAAACCACAAGTTAATTGTGTTGTCCTGAACGTTAAACTAAACTTGTTAAATTTTTCTGTTGCCAACTTTCAACTCGACCGAAGACGGTTCAATTGAACTAACTGTTAACTCGCCACAGCTGATCATACTTTCACCGACTTGCCCACCTTTGATAATATTAGTATTAGTATACAGCAAATCGGTTTGGAAATTCGTAAACTCCTTTTCCGTTGCTGCCTCGGCAGGTCACACTCGCGGTACAGTCGTCCGGTTTTAAATGCGATCGAAGAAAATAAAAAATATATTCAGCAGACGAAAGCTCATTCGTATTGACAGCCGTCCGCCGTCGTCGCACAACGAGCCGGGGAAAGCTCAGACCGAAAACCTTGGAGATTTTCTCCGAGACGTATATTAGGTATATATATTATATATATATATCATGGCCAGATATCTCGAGCTCGACAACAATATAAAATAAAATGTTACACACGGCTGACGCGTTTCGTTTCGTTTTCGGAGATCCGAAAAGCTCGTCTCTGCGACGCAATACGCGTATTGGATTTCCGATTCGCGGAACGGCATTTACTCTATTCGAGCCGGTGGTGGTGGGGGGGGGGGTGAGGACGGGTTCTCGCTGGCCTCGAGAGAAGGTTAATCGAAAAATAAATGTAAAAATGCCGACAATAATAATATATACTGTGTAAGCCCCGCGGTGCACCGCTCTCCGCACACACACACACATACATCATATATATACAGTGAACACGGATCGTAGACATATATAATATGATATTATACGACCCCGAAACATCCCCCTCCCCCCGGTCATCCCCAATCCGACCGTTTAAGAAGTTGGTCGTGGAAAATAATATTGTTATTATTTTTATGGTATTTTTTTTATTTTCTTTTACGAACGGTCCGAAACCGTTTTGACCGATGTCGTCTGATATACATAATATACCTACAGCGAGCGTACGACGGTCGTAAGACCTGAATGCAAATGAAAAAGCTTATTTTGCTCAAATCAATATTATGTTTTGTACGTTTTTCGTTTTATATACTTTACGTCATTCGAAACGGCCAGTTTTTAAATCTAATTTTGAGGCAAATTTTAAACGTTCATTTGAGTCGAGTATTTTATTTTTTTTACAGTTTTTTAAATATCAATACTATTGTTTTGAATAAAATTAATTTCAAACGTTAAAATTTTTTTCAAAACAATTTTCACAAGTAAATCTCAAACAATTTACTATTCGTATTATATTATTTTCCACACTAAAGTATCGATTTGAAAAAAAATTATTCTTTATTTAAAAAAAATCCAAGAAGAGAGCCAATGGATTCTTTGAAGCGATACAGCTAAATACTTCATCAAAAATTATAAAATATAAAAATATTCATAATATGCAATTTATAGTAGACTAAACTACACAAATTTCATGCTTTATGATTTTCAAAGTTATTTTATGATAATTGAAGACTCCAGTGCAATAACCAGATACGACCATTTTTAAAAATTATTCAGGAAACATAAAAAACAATCTATAAAATTGGTAAATTA